TGTTTGATATGTTCTATTATTTTCGGTTGAATATTATTTGTTCTTGTGTTTCTAACTTGTTTAACTTTTTCACGTAATTCCATAGTTAAAATATTGTAATTGTGATCATTTGTTGAATCTGTTAAAGAGCTGTTTGTTGCGTTCGTTATTGACTCTTTCGGGAATGTGAATGTGTTGTTCGACGGAGATGCAGTTGTTCTTTGTGGATACAGAGTTGGTTTGGGAACAATAGAAGGAACTGAAAAGCATACACATTTATCGGTTCATATGTATGTGCGACAGAAAATCACTTACTGATTTTGGTGAACGTTGCACATGATTGTTTACCATTTGATTGAGTATTTGAGAAAGCAAAATTTTTTATTGGTAAATCTAAAAGAAAGGCAGTAACACTATAGGTAAATAGTAAACAGTTTTATGTTGATATATACTTGCAACAGACGAGGATGGTTGTGACAAAGCTAATGTCGCATTTGGATTTGATATATCTACCCAAAAGGAATATTCTGTGAGACGTAGAACATAAGAGCTAGGGTAGTCTCTTACCAACGGCAAATAACACATTCGCGTTGTTATTTCTGACAATACGAAATACGTTAGGATGTACTGATGCTGGCGGCGTACGATCATTTATTGTTTGTCCCACAAATGATGCTGTGGCTGATATAGTTTCTGCTGTATTTAAATCAACTGAATTTTCATTATTTTCTTCCCAAAATGACACGTTCGCAGCATGTTTTTTTGCTGAATTTATTATTGTTTGATAATAACGAGCAGCTTCTGGACGGCTGAATACAGAAGAAGTCGTCTGTGAGGCATGCGGTTCAGGAAGAAAAGGTGGCGACGAAGACGATGTTTCTGATTGTGCTAGCATCGATGATAAATCAACAACTGTTTTGCTTGTGTTTAAATTATTTTCATTCGTTGTGTCTGGTGCTTCTGTTTCATTAATTGTTGTTGTTCTTGTTTCATCTGAATCGATAGTTATTTGCGTTGCTACAGTTATCGCATCTGCATCGTGATAAAGATCAGGATGTGGCTGAAAAAAAGTAAGGCTACAATCTGAAATAGTAAAAACACATTATTCGAGACCTTTTACCTTAACATCAGGTAGATAAAGATGCGGGAGCGACTCGTGAATAGGGCTGCGTGGTAATGGTGATGAATTTGGAGTTGTATTCCGGTTTTCCTACAGTAAATGAAACCATAATTAGTACGCGTGAGTAAGTATGTTGAGGGAAAGGATACGTACAATCGAAGATACTTCGTGAAAAATCTTACGTTCTGTTATAGGTGTACTTGTACGTGCGTCAGCACGCACACGTTTAGCTACACTTGCACTATTTTCCTATTGAAAATACCAGTCCAAGGCTAGGATGTGCAATACAAAGTGTTTTCTACTTACATTATCAGAATCTGTTAGCTCATCATGATCCACGTCGATTGTTTGTTTTTGTACAAAAGCTTGTTTTTTCTGACTCTGGCTGTTCCGTTTTGGTAAAAATCCTCTTTTTCGTTTCAAATCAACTCTTTTATTTTTACAGCTTTTAGCTAAGCGTGTTGATATATCAGTCTAGAAAAAATCGATTACCGATGATCTTTTATTCTGTGAAGAAAACTAGATCTACTAACCAGTTTAAAACCTTCCTTTTTACTGAGATTTGGATATTGTCTTATTATTGATAGACTAATATTTTGATAATCAATCATTGATTTTGAGTTGGGATATCTTTCCATAAAGACATCTCTTGTTTGGCAAAAGAAATTATGTGCAACTGCCTTTTCCAAATCTCCTAATAAAAAAACTTAATAGATGAACCTTTTATTAAAAAAGACGAAAAAACGTACCATCTTGTAGGGCTTTTTCAACAGCAGCTGTATATATTGGTAAGTAGCAAGTTGACGGTACACGAACAGGCTAAAAAAGAAAATTTTTAACAGTATATCCAAATAGTCATTAAGGTGTCATCAAATATCTTTAGAATTTTCAGTAGGTAAGTTTACGTACAGACTCTTTATGTTCCTTTCTTCCTGAACCAGCTTCTATAATCTAGAAAAACCCAAAACAAATATGGAATCTACGGTCAGAAACAAAACTTACCGATTTTGTTTTTACAGGTGTCATTGTTTCGTTTCTTAATGCAGTAATTGAAGACGTTAAGGCGAGTGTTGGTTTTTGTTCTACTGTATCTGTGGTAGAGGAGTTTAATGAATTTGTATGTTCGTCAAAACATATTGCTGATCCGCCGTTCGTCGTGTTAAATGATGATGACATTAAACTTGTTTCATTATCTACTAACAAAAATTTTAAAACATTTGCAGTTATATTTCATTTACTTCCTGTTATACTGCATCTATTAAGCTCACCTAATATATGCTTGTGCTCCAAATGGCCGCATAAACAAATTTGTTCAACTTTCGCATTGTCTTGTACAAAACGCACACATGCATCAGCATCAGAACAACGAATACATATATTTTTTAATCTTAACATTTCTATCTATAAAGACAAAGCAAAGAAAATAAGGACTTGCAGTAGTATGTATTCTTTATTCTATACAATAATTACAAATACAGTTAAAAAGAAATTTACTTTCAGTAAACTAGCATGCACGAGATAAAAAAATTAGCTATACACATAAAATAATACATTATTTTTAATTTTGTAGAAACAATCTTCCATAAGGACGTAATGCAACATAGCCGGTATTATGTATGTTAACAATTTTTAATGACCAAACATACTTTAAATCAGTAGCTGCCATGGTCCCAAAACGTTCTCTTCTTTGCACCTTAAACGCTCTAAGGTATTCATCATAGTCGACAATTTTTAAAAACCGAATACCAAAAACTGTATTATCACCAATAATAAAAATGTAAACAATTTGGGCTAATTGAGGTGTATGTGTCAAGTATTGACTGGATGTACATAATACCGTTCCAATTGAATAACATATTCCATTTATTTTACAAGTTTTTGCTGTATGTGTTGTTTCAGGTGGTAAATTCCATGCATCAATATTTGCGCGCAATTCATCTGATAAGGGACTAACATAATGCAAATGTGTATCATTTTTTAAAACACTTCTTGACAATTTTCCATCAGCATTATAGTCAACACAACATTGCCATACTTGATGTCTTTTGGAACATGTTTTTGTTAAATTTTTAAAATTTCGATGTTTGTTTCCTAAAAGGAGAAATGATGCAAGAAAAAAATTAGAATAAAGGCATATTTAATTATCACCTTTAAAAAACTGATGTTTTCTTTCAGATGAGAGGCATTGTGTGTATCTTAAAGGCCCAAAAAGACGCATTTGCCGTGGAAGATGCAGTAGAAAATGATACTTCTGCTTGATACTCTGGAAATACAGTTTTTTTACTAATGTATTGTGTTGTTGAATACAATGCTGAAGTTGATCGACTGTTGTTTTGTCCACTTCTGATGAATAGCATAAATTAAGGATGTCAAGTAATAATAAAACTGCCTCATATTGTTCGAATCTTGAATTGTGTAATAATTTTCGAAGAATAAACGGCAGGTTCATGAACAGATGATATACTTGCATTGCATCCAAAGGCATTCCTGAAAACAGTAATACAGGAAATGCATAAATGATAGAATTAAATTTACTATTACCTCCACCTGTTTGTGCGGCTAAATCTTCAAGTTTAATACTCAGATGAGGTTTGCATGACGACTCGTTAATATCATATTCAAATGTATTCACCTCATGACAAAATTCGTCAATTGTAAATAGATTATTTCTCCCACAATAATCCAAGAAAACATTGAGATGAAATTTGCACTTTTAGCGTAACAATATTGTTACGCTAAAAGTGTGTCATCATCGTCTTATTGGTGATCGTATTCTGGACGGTAATGGCACACTTTTACCGTGACTTTTTGTTAGTTTTGCCGTTATTTTTTTTTACAGTGTATGTAGGTTATTGAAAGAAGAAAAAACTGAATCGACTTTACATTAGCCAATCAAATTTTAGCGATAAAACTTTCTTGCGGTTTAGAAGAAATGCATTAGTGTATGGAATTTACGTAGCCCGAACAGACAATTTCAATGGCAACTGATGACTCAACACGAGACATGCGTGCGGCATAAGTATAAATAAAACGAAAAAGGCACTAGTTTACGTACTTGATCTAAGTGCGTGACTGTTTAAATTGACAAGCGCATTCAAAATTAGTCACTTGCCATGTACTTTTACAAATACTTTTCCCAGATTGCAATAGTTGGTTTTATTTCGATCGAATACTCTGTAAAAGTTCTTGTTAAATGAAAATTTGATAAGTAAACTGATAAGTACGGGTTTGATTACGTAAGAGAAGTACTTGATTACAGGTGAATTAGGGTGAATGTGGTGAATTCACTAGGGCAGGTCTCATTGACCTGATGATGGAACGTTATTGCAATCTTAAATTATATTTTGAATACGCACTCGTATGTAGTTCACTATCTGCTACAATTGTACAGTTCTCTTTTAATGATGCGTAGTAGTTAAACGATCTTTCCTCTTCGAAGAAGCTGCTCGAGTATAATTACAGCTTTCAAGGCGTAGTTCAAAACTTGTGGCATTTATTTTTTTAGATAATCAGTTAGAAAAGAAATTAATCGTTTATTCTACAATGTTTGCATTTGTTCAACGTATTCTTGACTGGGTAAAAAGTTTATTTTGGAAAGAGGAAATGGAATTAACATTGGTTGGATTACAAAATTCTGGTAAAACTACATTTGTGAATTTAATTGCGGTATGTATGTGTACACTTGTGGTGTTCTCAATGCCTCTACCTCTGATCTACCGTTTTGATTTAGTCTGGTCAATATTCTGAAGATATGATACCAACAGTTGGGTTTAATATGAGAAAAATCACAAAAGGCAATGTAACAATTAAAATTTGGGACATCGGTGGTCAACCACGCTTTCGTTCAATGTGGGAACGTTATTGTCGTGGTGTTAATGCAATTGTGTAAGTCAAAAAAAAAATAATAATGCAGGCTTGTCTAAAATGTTAGTCTGTTAGTTACACATGTTTTTCTGATTTTTGATTTACTTTTTAGATTTATGGTTGATTCAGCTGATCATGAAAAATTAGAACCATCGGCACAAGAATTTCGTAATTTACTTGAAAAGCCTCAACTACAAGGTATTCCAGTACTTGTACTTGGAAATAAACGTGATTTACCAAATGCATTAGAAGTACAAGATCTTATTCAAAGACTGTAAGTTCGTACACTATCTTTAAGTCTTCAAATACTTCATATTTTCTGTTTATTTAGTGGTTTATCACCGATCAAAGATCGTGAAATATGTTGTTATTCTATATCATGCAAAGAAAAGGAAAATATAGGTATGTCTGTATGCAAATATATATTTTACATTGAAATCTATCTACTATGACGCTATTAAAATCGGTAGCAGGTAGTGTTTTCTTATGTAAAATCACTGATATACCGATATTCTTGCAAAACACGAATCCTTCGTGAAACGGTCATTGTTTTATCTTGTAGATATTACACTTCAATGGCTTATTCAACATTCAAAAACAAATCGATCATAAGGAAAAACTTTAAGCAATACGTTTTGTGTCAGAACATAGATATATAATAAAGAACACGAATTCTAATTTTATTTCTCTATCCCTAAAATTGTTGTGTGTGTGTGTTTTTGTTGTTGTTATTGTTTCTTTTTGATGGCTTTTGTATTGATAAATCATGTGCATAAGCTTTTGTTGGTTTTTTTCGTGCCGGTCTAATTTCATAGAAAGAATTTGCACTTAGAACCGCATTGTGACTAAAACAGAGTATGTTGTAGTTTTTTTTTAATTCATTCCAAAAGCAACAAAAAATTTTATTTATTTATTCAGTTTTTTTTTCTCCCTCTCTTTCCTTTTCTCTTAATCTTCAAATGGATTATACTTCATTATGGATAGAAAGATGAACAAGATTAATTCTATATTTTCTCTGTGTTTTATTTTACTTTCTTATCATGTTATGTTCTTTTCTTTTCTACATGTATATTGTGTCAAGCCAACGTCATTTCACTCTAAATTAAAAATTTTGCTTTCAGTTTTTAAACATTATTATCGAAAATTTAAAACCATGGGATTCGTAGCCTAGAATTAGAGGGAAAGTTTTTGTGCGTTTAACCCGAGTTTAAATGTGAGGGGGAAGACAGGAATGTTATTGTACAAAAATTCCAGTAAACTTTAATTTCAGAGTTGGATTTCGTTGTAACTGTACCAACGTGAGGTTCTTCAAATGTATCTTTAAATAGTAAGAAATAATTGAATATTTCTGTGTCCAGCGAACTTTTTTAATACTTTCTAGTTCTGATTTTTTCCCAAGTTTCAGATGAGTAATCAAAATCAAAATGCTACTAAAAAATCGTCTTCTGCTGATGATGAGCAGAAGAAAACTGAAAAATCATCATCATCAAAGCATCTTCAAGATGATCAACAACAACAAAAGGATAAAAAATTAGATTTAACAAGTTTAGAAGAAGATGATGAATTTGAAGAATTTCCAGTTGAGGAATGGACACAAGATGATTTGGATGATGAAGATACACGTTTGTGGGAAGAGCATTGGGACGATAATGTTAATGAAGATGATTTTTTTCAACAATTAAAACAGGAATTAGAAAAAAAAGGTTCAACAAAACCGACTACAACAGCAACGACTGCTGCTACAACAGCGAAATAGGACTCAATTAGCAAACAACAACTAAATATAGGCACATTGTTTCTTTTTTTCTTATTGTTATAAATGTATGTTTTTTGCGAAATAAAATCAAGAAAATATAAAGTATATAAATAAATATGTATTAGCAGAAACACTGAGAGATTGTAGTACCATGTAACTGTCAAAACGAAAATGAAATTTATTTTTCTTGTCATTTCAGACATTATTGATGATTAAGTGTGAAAATGTCATCCAAATATAATGTTCGATTTAACGTTGTAGCTGGATGCGAAAGTGGTATTCTGAAAGGTAAATTTCTCTTCGTTTTCTATTCTAGAAAAGTGTTTTTAATAATAATTGTTTGACAGAAGCGAAACCTGATTATACTGAATAGCTAGTGGTTGGTGCTTGAAAGAAATTTCTCTATCGTAAACATCTGAACAGTGAATAGGTTCGCCAATGAAAGGTTTGTTAACGATAAACAGAAAAGATGACAATTATGATACGTTCTCATTCTGCGCATCGTGAACAATAAAAACAAGAATAGATGGAAGGGCTGAATGATCGTAATCCTTTTTTTACATGCACTTTTTTTTTAACTAAGTGGATCGGATGCAGGAAGCAAAGAATAGAAGGTATCAATTCGCGATAGATTAATTTTAATGCAATTGAACGAAATAGTTGCCTTTGAGAATCTGAATTCTCACAAAAATACAATCATTTACGTGAACTTTTCAGTTTTCAATATCAAACGGAAGATACATTTTATACTTAATTTTAGGTATTGATACGGAAAACAATGCTGTGTATAATGTCTATAAACCAACTGATACTTATGTTGATGGTGTCTCAAATATGTCATGGTCGTCAGATGATGAACGAGTAAAAGTAAGAGTCCGTATATTTTTAATCTTGATTTTGTACGTACACTATTTTGTTTTTCTTAAGGTAATTTTCAGCACGAAAAAGAATACGATTCATTCCTTTGATTTCCTTAACGAAACTGTTCATCAAATTGGTTCAATAAAAAATGAAACGCAAATAATAGGTTTAGCACAATTTAAACAAGACAGGTTTGTAGTTTCCAATCTTTTTGTAACTTTAACGGAGAGAATCTGCTTTTATCCACGGTTTCTGTCAAAAGAACTCAATACTCATGGACCTATGATATTAAAATGCTTATTCTGTTTATTTAGACTTGCTATATGCTGTGAAAATGGTTCTCTATCTATTGAGTCATTGACAAATGACGAATCGTTGGAAACACTGGTATGCAGGTATATAGGCTATCTGGATGATTTAAATTGCATTTTCATTTTTTTTGTTGACTTATTAGATTGAAACGAATGCTGGTGCAAATCTTTGTCGCATGCGTATGAATGAATTCAATAAACTATATGTTGGTACCGGAGGAAATGAAAATGATTTGAAAATATGGTGTTTGGATGAATTTAAAAGCAATGTACCCACATTTCATGCAAAAAATGTAAAAGTTCTTCCTTTCCTGTTTTCTAACTGGTGTATGATTATTATTTTCTTACTTGCAGGTGCGACCTAATTTTGTACGCCTTCGTATGCCTGTATGGGTAATGGATTTGCAGTTTCTAGATGAGAGAAATCGTTGTTTAGTAACAACAGGACATCATCAAGTAAATAATCGATAAATTTATACTTTCTTTTATGTCAGAATTATTCTGGTGACATTTAGATTCGTTTATATGACCCACAAACTGATACAAGACGTCCAGTTCATCAGACTGAGTTTGAACAATATCCAATTACAAGTATTTCTCTGTTACACTCATCAGACAACTCGTAAGTAACCACCGATAAAATCAAACTCTCTCAAAATGATTTATGTTTCTAGACGATTTATTGTTGGGAATACCCAAGGAGAAATGGCAGAGTTTGATTTAAAACGATTATCAACAACATCATCACCATCGTCCCTGGTTCATAAATATAAAGGATTTGCCGGTAGTATCCGATCAATAGATACACATCCGACAAAGCCATTAATTGTATCCGCATCAATAGATCGATTTTTGAGAGTACATCATGCAGAAACAAAACAATTAATATCAAAAGTAAATAATTATAGTACTTTCTCTCATCTTCTGATTTTGTATGAATAAAGTTTAGAATTTTTTGCAAAACTTTTTCTACTTCAGAGAATCTTCTTTCTATCTCACATTCTACTCTATTCTAGTTTTATTTAAAGTCACGTTTGACATCAGTTTTAATTTCACCACATCAAGTACATAAAGAAAAAAATTTACATGATGATGATATTGAACAAACGTCAGCAACGATAAATGACGATTCTGAGAAAAATGGCGATGATATGGATGATATTTGGTCAAAGTTTAAGAAGAAATCATCAACAAAATTTGAAACAAAAAGGTACTTATTCTTTTTTTTGTTATATTTCGCTTTACATATAACCTTGATTTTTTTCGTTTTAGAAGCTCATCACAAAATAACTCTCACGTAAAGAAAAAACGGAAAGTTTAATTGTGCTTTTCTCATTTATTGTTGTTTATATTTTTTTGTTGGCCAATAAAATGGATAAATGAATAAGTAAAGAACTTTTTTTTCTTAAATACTTCTTCGTTGAAACATTTACGGACAGAGTCAATGCATTTTAGTAAGTAAATCAGTTTAATTTCATATTTCAAGATGTTTTCTTTTGTCAGCAAGATTTTGATGAACCGTCATTTGTTGTTGACTCAAAATCTGACTTGTTATTCGTCATTTGTTCTTTCTCATATAACACCTCATGGTGATGTGTCGATGGTTGATGTTGGTGATAAAGTTAGTACAAAACGAAAAGCCGTGGCTGAAGCTATTATACGTTTTCCTGATTCACACACATATCAAATGTATTTTGATGTTACATCGAAAAAAGGTGATGCACGTATAACATCGAAAATTGCTGGTATATTTGCTGCTAAAGTTAGTTGTCACATTTTTTGTTAATCATAGTAGAAAGAGATGATGAAATTATCATGAATATGTTGCTAGTTCATATTCAGATTAAAATGCCTGGTTCATCACTACTGATAAGTACTCTAACATGAAAAAAGTATTATGCTGTAATAATGACCTTTTGTTAATGAAAAATTCATTTTCTTCTGTTTAATAGTTGTCAACTATACTATTAGTTTAAATTTGATAACGAGACAAATAGATGTTTGTTGAAAATATTTATTTCTGTTTCTCTTTCTGTATTTGTGAACAGTGGTCATGAAAGTTTTTAGGAGTGAGACGAACTAAATCTTGACAAGGAGATAGTTTCCTAGGTCGTGAACCATATCATATCACCTACATCATACTTCTTTAAATAAATTACTTCTACTCTTTCAGCGCACATCAGAATTGATTCCGATGTGTCATCAAATTCCGTTAGATCATATTGATATTGAATATGAAAATTGTCCCGAGAATAATGAAGTTAAAGTACGTTGTACTTGTTCAACACATTTTCAAACTGGTGTAGAGATGGAGGCAATTGTTGGAGCAACCATTGCTGCTGTTACAATTTATGACATGTATGAGTACACTAAAATGTGAATGATTATTTTTATCTTTATAATTTTCTTTAACTATTCAAAGGTGCAAGGCTGCTAGTAAAGCTATTCAAATTTCAAATATACGACTACTTGAAAAACATGGTGGAAAGTCTTCATCGTATGTAAGTAGCTCAGAGGATGAGAAAGAAAATCAAAAAAATTAAGCAAATTTTTCTATTAATTATATTTGGATTTTAACATTCCTGAAATAAATTATTCATTCTTATCTAATTGTTTCTAATTATTAAACTTCACGAATGAAACTGATCTAATGTCTGAACAACGGAAATTTTCTGCTGTGTTCGTTATTTATTGATATTTATGTATTGCTTCTCTTTTTTGTTATTTTTTTCTAATTCCAGATAATAGTGCTTTTATACATCAGTGAGTGATAGTGACATGAATGTAATAACGACTAATCTGTCATTTGTACTAACTACACCAGGTATTTCTCCTACGAAATATTGGAATTAATGTACTGATGAGCGGATAGTACTAGAAGGTTTTCTTTGAAGCACAATGTTAAGTGAAGATGATTAATGTACACGTACAACAATGTCAATGTCGGCTAAGTACAAATGTGGCGTATTTATTACAATGATTCTTAAACAAATTGGACTAAAGAGAAGGCAATTAGATAAAATATATAATCGAATATTGAAATAAAAATCATAAAACAATGATGATTTATCTATGAAAATATATTATCATAACAAATTACATTTTTGAGTGGTCTTGCGTCAAGTGTATATACAGTGGATATAAAAATTATCCATAGGATGGAAAATTTTTTTTTCTATTTCAGATATCTTTGCAACGTAAGATCATGACGAGATTCATGGGTATTCACCATTAGATCGGTCTATGTGTCAGCTTTGTCTGAAGTTAATATATTACATTTAATCCACTAGCTTCATGTTTTTCTATCAAGATTTTTAATACCGATCTGCCTTTTTAGACAAAAAAATTATTCGTTCAATCGTTTTTTTTCCATGTCATGGGCACAATTCAGCAAAATTCAACGCAATCCATTTGAAAAAGCACGTCTTTCTGATGAAAAAAATACTTTCCAAAAGTTTTAACATTTCCATTGAGAAAAATTAAATTTAAAAAAAGCATCATAAAACTTTGAATTTTTGTCTTTGAAAAAAGTCAAATTTTTTCATTTGAAAAAAATCAAACTATAATTTCAAATATACTAGAAGAAAGAGCGTGAAAAGCTCTACAAGGTGCTTTTGTTGAAAACTAAGAATGTTGACTTCTATGAACGTTTTCAATGAATTTTCTTAAATATGATCGATAGACTTTTTCACAGCTTTTTAGAAGCGATATCTTTTCATCTACTTTAGGCCAACCTAACATTTTTTTTTGGACGAGTATGGCACAACGAGTACAAAATTCTCTTCAAGATGAGATATAAAACTGCTCCTAATACTATGTCTGAACGTAGTTATACATCACTCTTTTCTTGCAAAGATCATGCACATGTAGAAGAGATCTAAATAAGAAACGAGAAAATGTATTATATTTTGACAAAGAAATTTGAAAAAGAAGAGTAATGTTTTTATACCCACTCTAGATATATATTACGTTTAACGCGATAGATGTGTTGATAATATCAACCCTCTTTTTCAAAAGTACGAATTATGCGTGTTATTCGAACTATTTTCAAAAAGGTAGCAAGTAATACAAAATATCTCGGCCCCTTGAATGTTTTCATATTTAATGTACCTGTTATTTGTTTTTATCCTTTTGTTTGTTATATTCTCTATATCTATCATATGAGGTTTTCGGTTAAAATTGAAACATAAACAAGAGATTACGCTGTTAACAGCATTCATTTTAGAAAAACAAGGTTGTGACAGGTAATCAACCATCTAGCAAAGTTTATGTTTGAGTTATTTAACGGTATGATGACGTATTGTGAAATGATTATTGTCAGTCAAAAATATTATTCGGTTAATAAGAAGAATTTTATAATAAAATAGTTTAGTTGAGAAGATCCGATAATTAGTGAATAACCATAAATTTTAACTCATTGAAAGTTCTTTGAAAACAAAGTTTTACTGCATTATAGTAAGATGCGTTCATGTTTTTTCCATAGGAAGATCTTTTCTATATATTGTCATGATACTGATTGGCGTCCTGGAAGTATCTTGCGCTTATTCTTTTTTTGACTTGATTGCGATAAAAAGTTTCAAAGAAATTTCATTTTACCGTACTACGATGAGCCACAATGCAGCCAGTAAGTTTTGATTGTGCTGTTTCTATTGAAATATATTTATGACACGCAATCTCTCCAAAGTAATTTCTCATAGTTGGTCATATTGATTCCTTGTCAGAGAGTTTTGCATACTGTGAAATATCGATATTTGTATCCAACATAATTAGATTTCACAGTTATTTTCGATAGATACAATGAGAATAGCTGCAGAATTAAAAAGTTTAGTTAATTCCTCAAGTGCACGAAAATATGTGATTCGTACAATTGGAAGTATTGTTTTCCACGGATACATGATACTTTCATGCAAATTAATTAGGGACTTCGTCAGGAACATTTGTTTATCCTTTTTGAACACTCACATGAGCAAGTTCGTGTGATCGATCTATCAACTGTCTGACACAATTATATATTCTTTTAGGTAATCTCGTTGCACGAAAACTCTAGTGCTAGTCTCAATATTTTTTCTTCTAGAACATCTTCCATTTCCATTAATCGAATTGTGTTCTTTTTTTATTTCGCGTATGCGTGCTCTATGTTTGGCCAAGATGTGTGAGAATAAAAGAGCGAAAAAGTCTTACAATATGTCAATACATAAAAAATTCAATATCTCAAGATCTATAGTGCCAATTGGTCTAAAACTCTGGCACAGCCATTCGATCACTGGAGCTGTTTGAGAAAAAATTTCGTTGCTCAATTCTTTACAGAAGCTGCAAGATACAAAATCGGTGGTACGTTAGTTTTAGGTACAGAGACAATGATTTAGCCATAACTTGACAAAGAAGGCCTGTGAGTCTGAACTATTTTCAGGGTTTTCTAGTTGTATCGAGGTCTGCTTGTGGCCAAATGATGGGACCAGAAGCAAGGAGTTAGTTGGGGATCTACCCTCATGGGTTCTAATGATTTAGTAACTGCACTAATAATAATTCAGCGGCCATTCGTAGATTGAGTTGAAGAACTTACACAATTTCATTTTCCTATTTTCTACTTTAGATAAATATCTTTCTATATTTTATTAATATGGTGTTTATATCGTACTTTTTTCACGTGTTTGCTTTCGTTATTCTATGTTCAAGTGCTGAATCTTACACCATTCTTGGCGATAAAGGATTTAAACAAATAGTGAGCTCGTCTTTATCTAACACAACGATAAATAGGTCTTTTACCTGCGTTCTTCATTTAGTCACCAACGTTGGGTCTATCATGGAAGAATTGTGGACCACTCAATGATCCCATACAAGTATTGTTGATACTCGTCGCTCCCGATCCAGTTATAATACCGGGCAACTTTACTGTTGCATTATCGCTAAATTCGAGTACAGAATTATCAAGGCCAATAACGGTTATTAAACCATACAAGTCACCTCTATCTTTTGACTGTTTGTTTTTATTGTAGGTGACAGTATTAGCCGAAAGAAAAGCTGGTCCGTTTTTTGTTAAAATTCCATGTATAGATAATATTGGATCATGCACATACGCTGATATCTGCGATGACTGGGCAAAGTTTTGTCCAGAATATTTAGAAAAATACGGTTTTACGTGTACCTGTCCATTACCACCCGTACGTAATCTCGTTTGTTAAATCAACATAAATAACATGTTTGCCGATTTTGTTGTTTTAGAAGAGTTTTGTTATCCAAGATGCTGGATTTTCTGTTGATTCCGTAGTCAAACCAGAATTATTAGGTGACTACCGTGTTACTGCTGATTTATCAACAACAGACGGTCATGCCGGATGTGTACAGATTGAATTGACAGTTAAACCAAAAAAATAAAGAAATTTCATTGAAAACGTATTCTTACAATACTTGTTCTGTAAGATTAAATTTTTTTGGCTTTATTTAAAGATAAATGATTGATATTTCTTTGTCAACTAATCTAAACTATCTGGCTCTTCTTATTTTTTATACTTTTCTATTGAAAATATCCGAATTTTTTTATGGATTTATGACTAAAGGAATAAAGTTTCCAGTAAAGAGCAAAGCGAAGAATTGTTTAATTAGTCAAACTTTGCCGGATAACAACAGTTTCATCCTTAGAATTAGCCATTCAGAAAAAGTGTAGAGATTTGAGTTTAAACATGAGTGATGATTGTCAAAGACAGTTTGTCGATGAAAGTTTCGTTTAACATAAAATCAAGTAAGTATGACAAGTTTCACTTCAGTTATACAATTCATCCAGTAAAAACGAGAGAGGAACGCATCGTGATGTTTCGATTTTTTTCTTTTTTAACGTTATTCTGCATCTATAATTGTTAACACATTCATTTTTCGTGGCCATGTTTTGACGAAAAAGGAAACCGATACATAAAAAATCGATATGAATAATAGTAAGATCAATTTAGAGTTTCCGAAACAAAAAACGACTTTGTATCCTGTAATCTTAAACAAAAATCAAAAAACGTTTAAAAATGTGTTTGACAGAGTGTATGTGTATACGTGGCTGTGCTGCTCACATCGCAGATAATATTTAGTAAAAGAAGAAGTGAATACCAACAATAACAGGGATACTAAGCAAACAAACCAAAAAACCGAAGTGAGTTTGCATTCAAAAAAATAGTGAAGATCACTGGACGAAAAAGAAAATTCTCTATGATTGTTATCAATGAACTTTTCGCTTTAGTTTGCCTGAATGAATTACTTTATCTTAAAACATGGCCAGTAGGAACATGATTAATATACGAGATAGAAAACCAATATTAGCAAGAATAAAACATTTTATTCTAACTTCACCATCAGGTAACAATGCTGGCAACTAAAATGAAAAGGTTATTACATTACCACAAGGTTACTAATATGAAGGTTATTATTCAGAACATGTTAATCATATATTGAAACTTACACGATCAACAAGTAAAATATAAAGAAACAATTCCAATTGTCAACGCAAATATCCGTTGTTGACAGACTTCACTGGCTGATAATGAAATTCCAATAAATGCAGTTAGTGATGTAATGAAATTGAATGTGAGAGCTTTATAATGAGTGAAACCAGATTGAATAAGAATAGCATGATCACCTGAAATAAAATATTAGCGAAACACATCATTGCTATATATTCTAATCTGCGAATCATCTTTTTACTTATACTCACCAAGTTCATGGTGAAGTTCGTGGAGGCCAACAGCAATTGTGGCTGTTACACCAAGAATCACATCTTGAGAAAATGTTACGCCGAGAGCTAAACCATGTGCAAAATTATGAATTCTCTCTCCAATCGGTACCATCCATCCTTTTGCTTTGATTGCTAGGAGTAGAAAAACCAAACAATAACAGTTATTCAATAAAGATTGCGTACACCAAGATGGTCGAATCATAAAAAGCTAGAAAAATAAATAAATGCAAGATCTGAATCTCGTCGGCGAGAACGTTAAACATTGCCATGAATATTAGAATCAGGTACCAGATGTGGCAATTAAAGGCGATTTTACATTTGTTATTCATGTAACGAAGAGTTTGGCATGGTATCCTCCTCACGTTTCCTAGACTTGATTTTGAGAGGATCTCAGAATTTGGAGAACAGGTGACTGTAATGATAATCGATAGCTCATAGGTTTACCTAAAAGTCAAAGTAGAAATCCTTTAGTTTTCGGTGGAGATATCGAATGCTATATAGAATATCTCCAATTTTCAAGATTTTTTCCGATTGACTTGCCATTATAGGGTATGATGGTGCACGACAAATGATGCAGATCCATAGAATAAATAATTTGCATCGTTCGTCGTAATATCCTGACGCAATGCTGTGAGTATTTTAGGAAACGGCACCAAGTCTACTTTTTAGGTGTAGATAAAATAAGAAAATAAATACTAAATTTCACAGTAAATGCTGTTTGATATTTTTAAAGCTTTATTTTTAACATTGTTATAAGCTATTTATTAAGAGCATTTGTTTTTGTTTTCTATAAGCCCTTCAGTTGGGCATCAAACTTATATGCAAACCTGATAATATGGGCTTTAACAGACTCTTCCTTAAAAAGTTATGACAATAATAAAATTGCAACTAAAAACACCCAAAATATATTGGTTTTTCCGAAAAAATAATTTATTTCTCAATAACCCTTTGGCCTTTAAACGAACTTTCGGTATAGATAGATAGAGAAGACCGTGGACTACAAGAATATCAGTATTAGATATCTGTTTGATTTGGTTCGTAAACACCAAGAGTGCGGACTTTTCTTGCGAGTTTTCTCGCAACTTTTCTTGCGACGCCGGAGAGGATCCAATATACTCTTTGTTTCTCTGCTTTTAGTATAACGAAACCATCGCTTTTCTATCCTTGCTTCGCACATGAAATATACAAACGTTTGACCGATTTGAAAACCGAAATTTATTTACATATCAAAAATCTTCATAGGTGGCCAAAGTTCGCATTTTTTACATTTGTTACATATTAGTTGAGTCTATATTTTTTAAAAATATCCGAAGCTATCCACATGCTGTTCAACTCGCTCTAGATCTGATATAAAGTTTTCGAAATTCATCACGACTGTTACTGTTTGAACGAGTGATCTTGAAACATTTGACCTATACAGTTTAGTCTTATTTTGTTAACCTAAATGTCTATTATTAGAATAGACATTTAGGACGGAAACTTCACGATATGGTTAATTTTGTCCTCTAGACGTCCTTATAGGAGCAACAAATTTGAAAAACAATATTTGTTCGATGGTTTTCTAGAAGTCTTTCCAGCAAACTACAGATTTTTCTAGATTCTTTTTTGTGAATTTCTTATAAGTAGAATATAAATTAGTTTAGATACTGTACATTCTGAAGCGTTCACCTGACTCGAATGTATTTTGAGTGAGTTATGAATTTTTTAATAGTAGCTGAAAATAGTCCAAAAGACTAGTTTTCGTAAAACTAAGATTTCGCTAGGTTCTAAAATTTCTTTCTAAAAAAGAAACATTGTCAGGAGACTCATAATCGTCGATAATCTGTTTTTATGAATTCCTGAAAGTTCCGGACCGAAGAATACAGAAGTCCCAGAGCTTCGGAAAAAAGGACCAAAGCTCCCGAACCAAACAAAATGAAACTTTTGCTTAGACCTTATTTTGTACAGGGCACTTTGGACTACCTGTCGGTGAAAGAACATCGATAGATTACTATGTAAAATGTTTTAGTTATAAACTAGCTTTTTCAGAGATCCTCTAAAAACCAGGTTTAGAAATTTTTTGAAGAGATAAATTTTCTTATGAAAATATTGGTCAACCTGTCCTCTATCGGTTGGTGAAAACCACAGCTCTCTATCTGTTGTCGTATTTGAGTTATTTGAAGACCAACTACCTGCCTTATATTTTTGGATGGATAGTAGTACAGAACATCTTCCTTATAACCCATACATACGTTTAATAAGGCGCTCTGCACATTCTCCGCCTGCACAAATTCCGCCCTGATTTTGAGGACCTGGGTAACTGCTCGACGCGACTAATTATTTGATGGACGGTTTTCTCCGCATAGGAAGAAAATATCATAGCGATTAGTAGTACAAACTGACAATCTAAGTTAAACTTGACTATGATTCGAAAGCGATAAAACTTCACGAGATAGAATTTCACACATGAATATTTCTTAAAAATAGATATGATCATTAGAGATTTACTCTTACTTCTCTTTAATCGTTCTGCTCCGTGAGTATCGATCGTAATCTGTAGATATCTCACAACGGCATCACCGAATGAGAAGAGAAAAATATTTAGGGACGTGCAAGAATATAAAATGCTGACTTCGAGCTATTCTGTAATGTGATAATGAGCGACATACCTTTCCGTATGAAATGAACTATGCACGACAATTTATAAACAATGAAAATAGCTATCAGAAGAAATCTAATATTTTTGGAATACACGTAAATGATTATGATAAAATATATGAAAACACGTTTGGTTTATGAGATTTTGCGTAGTAAAAATACTAAAATTTTGAACAATATGAATAACCATTTTTGTCTGTTTAATAGAACATGACAAAGATATAAACCGCATTTTTAGAGACTTTCTGGATCTATATCTATCTAATAATGATAATGTTAAGAAATATTTTTTATTGTATTGTAGACGTTATAGAACGATACAGTGACATTTTACCTGATATAATTTGTCAGCCAATACCTGTAGAGCACGAGTTTTCACAATATTCAAGACAAGTTATGCTCCAAGTTATAAGGGTATTAGTACTTTTTGTACAGTTTCTAGCTCTTGATTGAAAAATTAAAAATGGATATGGATGTTTAATTTCAAAAAACAACAATGACTTGTACGGTCGTAAAGGAGAGGCTTTTTGCAAGATTTCTTAAAAGCTTCTGCTTAGGAGACATTTAGATAATTACTACTATAACTTTCCTTGGTTTTGATAAAATATCACTGCATGATAGGCGAAATTTAGGCGTTTCCAAAAAATATATGAAAAAAATTTCAGAGAAGAAAATTTGACATTGTATCTTAATGGCGGTGAAATTCAGTATTCAACCATCGGCCATAACAGCGTGCATACATGTATTTCTATTCAAAACAATGATAACCACATTACAATATAAACTATCATAAAAAAAGATTTATTTAAGCATGGTAAAATAATGTATACAGTATATATAATGTCACGCAGTATTATTCTAACTATCTTACTTTGAAGACCTGTCCATTCTGGAATAAAACAACAAAAAAATTTTGCATTTTTGAAAGAAAAATAGAAGAATATTATTTTGCATTTCTTTTCTTGTATGACTTATAAAATATTCGGTCTGTGTGCCTGATATTTAGTTTGATTTTCAAATAATACAAGTACTCGTGTACTCATTGTTTCCTTCATATGGGTAAATAACTTGTATCAGAGTTAGCAACACGACGGTAAGAACATGAGGCTATACACTTAGGTTACGAATTTTTACAGTTTCTCTGTTGTTGAGATGAAAAGACAATCACAAATCACAGTGTTTAGCTTGCTTTTATTTTCAGAAGACAAAAGATCATGCTTGTAGAAGAATGGTTGACTTTCCTATAAATATCACGACTTTAGATACAAAGTCCATTCTTTTAACTTTTAGATGACCCTCTCTTTCTCTCATTTCATGTGTTCGTATAATGAGTGTTGCATATTTCTACTCGAGCACATTTATCCGTATACATTGTGTATAATCAACAAGAAGAATGTTGCATAAGCTCTCTCCAGAGAGCATCGTTTCCTCTTGTACAGTTTATTTAATGTAATGACGACAGACAAAGTAGAATATAAAAAGCTCCCATTTACACAGGATGAAAACATTTTTCGATGTGTTGAACGATAAAATGTCTTTTTCAGCGGTCAATCTCCTGACTTTTCTTCCTCTCTTTTGTATGGTATAGTTCAGTTCTACGCAGATTTCAATGACAAAAATATGTCCAACCACCAAATAGGCACATAAATCATCTCTCATTTCAAGTCGCGGCGATCTCTCTGAGCAAGCAACTGGGTTTTTGTCAATAACGATATCCTAATGATGCAGCGCGATCAAAAACAAAGCCTCGGCGATATGTATTCTTTTAAAAAAAACTCAGATTTTTTTTACGTGACTGAAAAAACTCAGTTCTTCTTTACATGTACAGATAGACAAAAATACACAATGCGCTCTCTCTCTCTCTCTCTTGCAGTTTGAAGAGGACGTAAATAGAAAGAAGAATAGTCTATACGGTCAAACTACATATACTATGATGCCCTTGTCAAGCACGCGCACGTTTCCTTGGAATGGACATCTATACATTATATACATATATAGAGAAAACATGTGCTCATAACGACGAAGAGAGAGAGAGAGAGAGAGAAAGAGAAAATATAATAAAAGAGAACGACACTCAACCTGACCGACCGTCAATCTCAAAAGTTATTTTCCCTTCTCTGATAGTTTTTGATTACCAAAATTATAATTTTGATTTCAATTAGAAAAACCATTGCTATTATTTATTATATTTTTGTTTTGAACATCTAAGAAAATTCTTTAAAGGTAATGAATGAATAATCACACTACGTAATCAAAAGTTCATTCTTATTCCTTACACATCTGATTGATGTTTCATGTCGCTTCCTCGACTAAGAATTGTAAGGAATGAAATTATGCGTGTAAACATGGTCTTAGATATTTAGTTAAATAGTTTAGTCTTTTTAACACTTATGCATGAAGTTTTTCGATCGATCTCTTGTAAAAAATCATTTCTGACTTTCTATGCCTTCTCATTTTTGTTCAATAGCTCACATTTTTTACTTTATTCTTTGTTTCGAACGTTTATTATCATAGCAAATGAATTACGAGCAGAATCTATGTTTAACTTCGATTAACGTTCAAATCTGCTGGAATTATCCTTGTTTGATCTTATATGAATAATAAGGCATGTAATGTCAAATATATCCTCTACTGATATAATGAATATACTTCTTCAGCTTTTTTTCATTTTGGAATTTGTGAAAAAAAAAGGTCTGAAGTTACGATATACGATTTATTTTTATGTATTTCTTGTTAAATATATATGTTTTACATCGTAGATACAGCTCTCGCGTGTGTGTCAGTTATAACACTATTCTCAACTACACATAAGAATATATAGAGTTGCTACTGTTCAATTTATTTTCTTTTACAAGATTTTTATGACATGTTTGCAATTATTGATTTTTTTTTGTTCAATTTATTTTATCTCTGTATAGTGCGGTATTATTTTTTTTTGGTACCTCGTTATATAGAGATCCTTCCTCGAACTGATTACGATAATCTTCATTGTATTATGTGCATCTTTTTTTGCAAATGATTCGTCATTCGATTTTAGATCAGCAATGGCATTGTATCTTGTAGTTGACGCATTTAAAAAACTCGGTTCTCCAACGGTTCGAAATGATGATTTTTATGATCGTTTGAGTCGAAAATATTCACTTATATTATTAGGCGTCTCATTTCTTGTTGTTAGTACATCACAATTTGTCGGTCATCCTATTAATTGTTATGTAAGTTGTTTATAATGAAACTTGGTGATGTTTACATCTTATCTTTAATTTTTTGATTTTTAGACACAAAATATTGCTGGTAGTCATATATCATATGTTAATTGGGTGTGCTGGATATCAAATTCGTATTATTTACCATTTGAAAAACCACTACCAAATAGAGATCAATTAACACCAGATAAAATGTAGCTAATTTAGTATTCTTATTCTTCACACCACAGATATTCAAGAGATGTGTGATATTGAGGAAGAAAAGACTGACAGAATATCTTTTTGTTGTTAAGGAGCAAAATCATTTTTCCACTGGATTAGAACGGGAGATCTGGATCTTTTTATCCACGTAGGCAATATTCGATGAACTTTTTTTACAGAGAAATTTGCAAAAAGAAGATTTTTGTTATACTCTATTAATATTTCATATTAGACATTCATAATTAGACCTGTGCGTCACGTCACTGCCGCGGATGGATAATCAGGAGTTTTGGCACCGCTGCCGATGCAAAAAATACAAACTGGTTTTATTCTCCGCGGATAGAAAAAGTTTTGGAATAATAAAGTCATGAGAAATTAGAAAAACAGGATGTTATATTGTAATTAGTCCCGCCGCGGACCATGGAGAAATTTCAAAAAAATCTTTTAAGGAGACTAGGTCGTCGCTACTGATCAGAAAACTTTTATTTCACGCCCCCGATTTTCCGACCGGCGCACAGGTCTATTCATAATCTGTTCCTCTTGAGAGACGTGCAGTCCATTTTGATAAAGTTAGCGTTCCAGAAAAGCTAGAGACATAGGATAGGATACGAGTATAACGTAGACTTATACATTTCTATTCCTTGTTTAAACTTTATCGTGGCATGCTGTACATAGATAGACAAAGAATGCATTTTAAAATGCGTACATCTGCGAAACTGCTCGTATACATTTTCTAGTTGCAATAAGAACGTAACTTTTAACCAATTATTTTAACTATACCTGTATTTATTCGATTTAGACCGTATTATCAATGGGTACCATTTATTATATTGTGTATGATGTTTTTATTCTATCTACCTGGTTTTGTATGGCGAAATATGAATAAAACATGTGGTATTAATACAAAAATTATTACAAATATGGTACTTAGTATGGATCAGTTAAATTCGGAAACGCGTGAAAAAAGTGTTCGTTCCCTAGCGAAACATATTGATAAGGCATTAGCGTATCATCGTGAATATGAATATGGTTTTATGTATAAAATACGTCGATCCATAACATCAATATTATGTTGTACACTGGGCCGTACATCCGGTAATTATTTGGCATGTGTCTATATTTTTGTGAAATTTTTATATATTGCTAATGCTATTGGTCAATTATTTTTGTTAAACTTATTTATGGGCAAAGATTTTAATATGTACGGTATTAATGTATTAAATCAATGGCTTCATGGCAATGAAATGGATGCGGTTGAACGTTTTCCACGTATAACAATGTGTAAATTTAAAATTCGTACACTGGGTGATAACATTCAACCGTATGATGTTCAATGTTTATTACCAATCAACATTTATAATGAAAAAATATTTTTATTAATATGGTTTTGGCTTGCATTTGTGGCTGCAGCATCGACCTATGGTCTTATTAAATGGTTATATTATTTTACATCAAAATCACGTAGAGATTTCATTCAAAGATTTTTAAGAGCTAACGATATTCATTATAATGATTCATTGAATCAAACATTGAATAGTCATCCTTCGCCAGCAAAACGTTTAGATGATTTTATTAATAATTATTGTCGACAAGATGGTATTCTACTATTAAGAATTATCAAAAAAAATACCAATAATGTTATTGCTGGTGAAGTTATTTGTGCATTATGGGATAATTGGAAAATATATCCACAATTTCGTTCGAATACAACACCCGAATCAGATAGTGGAATAATGACCATTGGTGTACATGGTAGCGGTGAAGGTGGAAATGATCATCCAACAATGAAACAGTTATTGATGTCCCAAACATAAACGTAATTCGTTCCGGTCTATTTTGTTTTCATTAAACTAGCTATTAGAAGAAAAAAAAGACTGCATGATAGAAGGAAGTAAAAGAAAAAAAACAATGGAATTTTTATACATAAATATATATACGTGTTTATTACTACCTCTGTTTTTGTTTTGTTAATATAGAGTCGCTTTCTTTTTTATACGCTAGTTTTTTCTCTTTTTTTTTTGTAGAACTTGAAGATTATTTGGTTTTTTAAATATAGATGATAAAATAAAACTAAAGATAATTCTACTGTTACCAAGGAAAATGATCTAAATTGCATTCAGCATTTGATGGTTTTTACGCTTTTCTGAAAAGAGCAAAAGGTCTTGTTTTGCTCAATGTAAGTTATCAAAGATACAACAGATTTAATCCATAGCTTCTCTTACTCAGTGATGGATGTAGAAAACTTTCTCGGTGAATGCTGTCGTACTCTCTAATTCAACCATACCTACTGTTCGCTCTTAACTCCAAGCGTATGTAAGGTATGTGCATCCACGTTTTCGCGCTTGTTTCTTGTATCTTTTGACAATAATGGCAAAGGAATGTGTTTTGATACGCGTGGTGAATAGAAATTGATGATGAACGCCATCTGTAAGGGAGATTCGGATAGATAGATGCAACAACTTTGTTATTTTTAATAATAAAAGAACCGCAGCGCTACGTCCCCAAACTTTATGTCTGTTTTGTTGTTGTCATTAGACCAATAGAATTATCAGACATTCTCCAGAGTTTATAATCGTCAACGTGGAGCTCAATTCGCTAATCGATTGATACCTTGAGAAACTGGTTAGTCAAAACTCATGGTTTTAATCAAAAGTACTTATTAAAAGATAAAAAGTAATTTAAACATGATGCTCTATACTATTTTCTTGCTAATATTTTCCACCATTTTGGGGCAAACGGGAAGTGTGAGTTTTCATTTACCAATTAACATTAGAAAATGTTTAAAAGAAGAAGTGCACAAGGTAAGTTATGAGACAAATGAACATGTTTTGTGTTTACTTAATGGTCTAACGGCCAACAAAAAAAAGTGCTTCCTTTCGTGATTTTTCGTCGAATTCTTTTGTAATTTATTTAAGGCAAAATAAAACTGCGCCAAAAATTCGACGGGATCCGTAGCAACGGCATTCCATGGCCATTAGATCATAACTATATAATTAATTTTTAGGATACAATGGTTACAGGTGAATATGAATTAACTGAATTAGTGGGAATTAGTGGGACACATTTGGAGGTCAAAGATACAAAAGGTCATATATTGTACAACAAAGAGAACGCTATAAAAGGAAAATTTGCATTTACAACTGAAGAAGTATGTATCTTCATTGTCCAATGCTCATTTCAAACATCATGTGTTTTTTTCCTATTATAGTATGACATATTTGAAGTGTGTTTTGAAACAAAAATGCCTGATAGTCAAAAACATCATTTATCCGCAGAACATACAACAAAAGAAGTAACATTGAGGATGAAACATGGTATTGAAACAAAAGACTATGATGCGTTAGCCAAAGCCAACAAATTAAAACCATTAGAAGTGGAATTAAGTCGATTAGAAGATTTATCATCGGCTATAGTTAGTGATTTTGCCTATATGAAACTCCGTGAAGAAGAAATGCGTAATACAAATGAATCAACAAACAATAAAGTTTTATATTTCAGTATATTTTCAATGTGTTGTCTAATGAGTCTTGCTGTATGGCAAGTACTCTATTTAAGAAGATATTTTAAAGCAAAAAAATTAATTGATTAAGAAAAGATATAATTTTCTTTATCAATAGTGTTTGAGATCTGTTATGGTTATTTTTCTTTTTGAAAAGAGAAACGATTATTATTCTTATTTTTTTAATAGTCGTTGCATTTTGAAATATTTTCTTTTCTATAGTGAAAGCTGTGTAATACGTCAGGGTACTTTCTTTTGTTGTTACTTTTTACTATATATTGGGCTCGTCTTCAAGCAAACTGTCTTGATAAGCCCAAATCCGTTCTAATCTTTTCTGTTTAGAATATTATTGTTGTTTGTTCTTTCAAGTAACGCATAGCTCATTTTTGATTTTCTCACGTTCATTCTTTCTTCTAGGTAAATGCTTTAAGCATTGATCATTTATTTATTTTTTTGTCTCATTCTTAATAAAAACGAAAAATAGTTTGCGTAAACTATTTTAACGCGTGATGGAAAAAGAATTATAGTCTCAGTATTTTCAAATTTTCTTCTCTTTATACTTGTTTGAACTTACTCTGATCTTTTTTACCTAAAATTTCCCCGTTAAATTTTCTACAAAAATCATTTGTCTTCAAAATAAAAATATTCAACCTGAATGGTTCAAGTTTTTGACTAATCTTTATCTGTTTTATTGAAAGGCCCATATTACTGATTTAAAATTTCGTCATTTTTTTGGAAAATTGGCAAAAAATAATAAAATTCTTACGCCCTCAATTCTAACTGAAAATTTTTAACATATAGGAGGAAAATTGAACTTTTCAAGGCCTACATGATAGTTACTTCAGTTTTTCTCTCTCACACACTTTTAACAAATAATATTAGAAAAAACTGTTTTTTAATGTATTTTTTCTACATTTTGGTACTTTTATAATCTTTCAAGTCATTTTTCATCTTCGGATTTTGCAATAAAACAGTCAATACATTTTCTGTAGAGAATTGAACGGGAAATCTTTTAGTAAAAAAATTAGCTCAATCAAGTGTAAGGGGAAGAAAATTTAAAACTACTGAAACGATAATTCTTTTTGTGGCACCCGTTGTGAGTTTATTTCGTTAATATACACAATGAAGATTTGATTCTGGTTATTATTTCTGAATATCTTGTTTCTGTTTAGATTGTGCCGCAATGATATGTTTACGATCATTGATTATTCTATTTGTCGTATTCAGTGTTATTTTTTCTGAAGAATCATTATCCGATCCTGAACAAACTGTGAATAATAATGATTTAGAACGAAAACCATTGGGCGAAGAAGTACTTTATCATGAACAGCCGATGATTTTAGATGGTCCAAGTTTAGTAGTTGCTTTAAGTAATGATAATTTTACACAATTTATCGAAAGTCATCCAGTTGTCTTAGTCGAATTTTATGCACCATGGTAAGTTTTCGTTACAAGCTTGTTCATGTATTCCTTATTATCGTTGCTATTCGAAGTTGCAACACTTGCAAATGAGAAGAGAGCTAGATATATAGCAAAAATTCAGCTACTTCAGACAATATTATTGCGCCAAACTGACTACGATTAGGTTTTTATTCTTTATATGTACAGGTGTGAACATTGTAAACAACTTGAACCAAATTATGAAACAGCCGCTCGCCTTATGAAAGACAACGAACATCCCGTTCAATTTGCTAAAGTTAATTCAGCAGTTGAAAGTTCATTAGTTCAACAATACGATGTTGAAAAATATCCTACCTTGAAAATATTTCATCATCAAAACCCATATCCTTACGATGGACCACTTGGAACGGGACATTCGATTATGGAATATATGAAACAATACGCAGATCCAGATTGGAGACCTCCACTATCTGATGTTTTCATTTTAACAGCCGAGAATTTTACTCAATTTACTGAAAATGAACCATTGTCATTGGTCGAATTTTATACTCCACTGTGTAAAATGTGTAAAAATTTAGAACTACATTATGAGAAAGCTGCGAGACATTTGAAAAGAAAAAATATCAAATTGGCTAAAGTTGATGCTACACAAGAAGTTCAATTAGCCAAAGAACATAATATCACTGAGTATCCAACATTGTTCGTCTTTCTTCAAGGCGGAAAAAAATCACTATATAATGGAAAAAATACCGAGCGTACCATTGTCCAATATATGGAAGATATGCAGTTATTTCCAAGTCAAGAACTGAATACTTCAAATGAATATAAGGAATTGTTTACACATCATGATAAAGTCTATGTTATAGGTCTATTTACAAATAAAAATACACCATTATACAATCAATTCATGGATTATGCTAATTTTAATCGAAGACTATATAAATTTTCACATACATTTCATTCAACAGATATTCTACCATTAAATGATATTAAAACGTTGCCAGCTATTGTTATACAATATCATCCCGATATTAGATCAAAATATGAGAATGAAAAATATGTTTTAGCGAAGGTAAGAAAAGGATCAGTACTTAAATTTAAACGTTTTCACTAAGTACAGATTAACTAAATAAAACATCATGGACTGAAAATGCAGATGACAATTATATTTCTATTAGAGAGTCCAACTACTAATGATCGATATTCGACTTTTAACAGTTTTTTATAAAATTTTCTTTTTTAGACTAGTGCCACATTAGATGATATTAAAGAATTTGTTGAAAAACATCAAACACCACTCGTTGGTTTATTAACACAAGACAGTCTACAGAAATTTTATGATAAATTACGTCCTTTATGTGTTATATTTTATGATGTTAGTTTTTCATTTGATCAGCGTGAACAAACACAATATTGGAGACAAAAGGTATTGAATGTTGCCAAAGATTACAAGAATAAAATTATATTTGCCATTACTGATGAAGAAAAAATGGAGAACATGTTAACAGTATGTTTCTTTTTGTCATTTTCTCTCGTCGGTTAAATTAACAGAGATTGTATTTTTCTTCTAGGAGTTTGATTTAGACTATTCGAGTGAAGATGTTAATGTTGGCTGTTATAGTAATGATGGGATGAAATATCGACTGGATGATGATGATGAATTTACGAGTGATTCATTTCGAGAATTTATTGAAAAATTTGACAAAGGAAAATTGAAACCATATATTCGTTCACAGACGATGCCCAAAAAAGCAATTGTAGATGGAATAATGACCATTGTTGGAAAAAATTTCGAACAAATTGTTAACGATAAAACGAAAGATGTTGTTATATTCTTTCATACATCGTGGTATGTAAAACTATCGACTAATAGTTTTGCTTGCTATTGTTGAAGTCTACTGCGGTAAAATGACCTTACTTGATCCTTTTTCTTTCGATTAAAAGACAAAGTATGATGTTAAATTAGAAAACGAATACAAGAAACTTCTTCCAGGCAAACAGATCATCAGCACTAGTTCTTATTTCCAGGAAATAAATTATATTTATTTTATTCCACCGTCCCGATTTATTAGTAAGTAATAATGCTAAAACAATCGCTAAATTAATGAAGAGATGTAAAAATATTGGAAACAAATGACATTCTTAATCAATTAATGAAAATATTGCGTTAAAAATTTTTTTTAACAGTATACCTATTGATATTGAGTGTTTTTCTAACACAATAATTACTATATTCATTTTGTTTAGGTGCATGCTCTGCAAAAGTTTTCTTCCAACATATAACCAAATTGCACAGAGTTATAAAGGTTCAAAAAATCTTTTATTTACACAATTCGATGCCACAGCCAATGACTTGCCAACAAAAGTTTATGATATCAGCACATATCCAACATTATACATCGTTCCATCCAATAATAAATTAAAACCAATAAAATATAATGGAAATCGAGATACTGATGATTTTAAGAAATTTGTTGAAACATATTCCACAAATATTGCTCATAATAAATCTCAAGAACTCTGAACATTTTACTTTTTTTTGTGTTTTTGTTCGAAATTTATTTTTTTATTAATCAATATGAGTGCTTTTGACATATCCGTCCAATATTGCCATTTAAAAGCAAATGAGAACCCTTTGGTGCTTGTCATTTAAATTTTTATCTTAATATTTTTATATGCATTTATTTATATTTTTTTATATTTTTATTTTTATTTTTTTATATTTTCATTATAACTTAAGTTTATATTATATGAATCTCAGAGAATGTTTTTAATAAATATTTGCATTTTCTTTCATTATTCCTTTATAAACGTCTTTTTGCTCCGTTTAACTTTAAAACTTTTGACTTATGATGAAGATAATCGGTTTGTAGTAGAAATAGATGCTGTTCAGACTGAAATCGTAAACTTCGTATCGTCTGAAACAGGCCGTTCTATTGTATGAAAAAATGAATCCTTATAGTCTTTGAAGTGAAATCAAAACTATGTATCGATTACACCGTTACCTAATGGACTGGTCAAATAACGACACAGTTAAGCATAATTAAATACAACTTAAAAAGAAACTTTTTGTGCATTCTGGTATATAAATTTGTCATCCTGTGTTTTCAAAAAATATAATTTAATACCAATCTATCCATGGCATTATTTGCCTTTAATAGTTTATACTGAAATGAAGTTCGTTAATTTCTTCTTACTGGTAAGAGATTTGAGAGACGCCTTTAACGTTATTTAGCTTTCAGTACTATATTTGCCTATTAGCTTGATAAGCAATTTATTATACATCCATTATAGAGTGGCACTGTGTCTGAAATAACTAATTTAACTAAAATATAAATTTTGCATTAATACAGCGTCCCTCTTAACCATCATCATTTGTTGTTGAATTTTTAATTTCTTCCAATATAAAATCATAAGTTTATTGTTGAGGCAAGTTTTTCGATACAATTTTCGTTTTGATATAAATCTTTCTGATGTTGTTTTGCCCTATTCCCTAAATATTATTACGAATATAAGACTGAAGTGGCATTTTGTTTCTGATAGTATATTGTGTTTCCAAATAGGTGATACTGGAAAAGGTTTTGCTTAAAGTAGTTTACTGTGTATTTTTAACGTAACTATTTCCTGTTCATTAAGTATAACGATTGTTAGTTCTTGGAATGGTTGTAAAATGTTTTTTTAACATAACAAAACGTTTTTTCTTTCAAAATCACGAATAACATCATAATCTGACACATGATCAAATACACGAAAAGCAAACATAGTTAGTAATTCTCGTTTAATATGGTAAAATACCGTTGATCAATTGACCAATGACACTTTCGGCACCACTAAAACAAACAAAGTTAAAAACACACTCTTGTTCCTTCTAATATCTTAGTGAGCATAGTCATCATCAACACACAGACATGGATATAATTGTGTAAAATGTTACATCATCTTAACAGTTGAGACACATAGCAATCATGTACGATTAAACATATATCCTTAATTCTATGACCCCGATTCAAACACACTAGCAAAATTTAATGGTAAATATGATATTAGTTTACAATAAGATGCTCTCAGTCCAAGAAAGGCAATTTGTGAATATTTATATCACTACATTGATCAATATCGCAAGGATCATCATAGAGCAGGATTCGAACACACGTACTTATGTTTTAAAAGCGAAAATTGAACAAACTTAGACAAACGCGGTCAGTTAAATAGCGTTCATAGATTTAGTAGAAGAGGGGCAATCTGGTGTGACGGAATGAAACTTATCTAATTAGGTAAAACGCAGTCAGTAAAATGGCTTGGTTCCGTTGTATTGTCGAGAGTTCTGGATTTTAATCTCATCTATCGAAATGCAATATACTTTTGGATTATTCTCTGGATGTAACACCTTTACATCGACTTTCTGGCAATCGTATGGCACTTTCAGGACTAGTAGAACGCATCACGGCGATCACAAAAATCATCTTAAAACTTTTCAAAATGACCGTATGGAGTGCCTCGGGTGAGGCACAATGTGCATTTTTTCCATAGGCCAGGCGGACATGTGCTATAGAAGCAGTCCGAAAGTCTACAAAAACTTCTTTTATAGGTTTTCAGATATGCTCTTTCCAACGGTGTGCTTTACAAAGTCTAAAGAGACTTTCATCTGGGTTCTCCAGAGATTGGATCTCTAGAAAGCCCACACATAAGTATTATGGGACTTTATAAAGCGTATCATTGGAAAGAGCATATCTGAAAACCTATCAAAAAAGTGTTTGTAGGCTTTCAGATTGCTTTTATAGCCAATATTAAAATCCTTAGCCAAATTGTCACACTATGCTTCGACTCTAGCGTTTCGTTACATCCAACAAGTTTTTGCTCAGCGAAACCTACTAATCTCACATCATTCGATGTAGTTTCTTGCGTTGATTCTGACTATGTCATTGTTAGTAAATAAAAACGTTTCTGAGCCGATATAAATGGAAAACACCTGAAAAACCATGTTTTTTTGGAAAACTTGCTTTACGCTTCAGAAACATTTACGCTAACGCAGATGATAGAGGGAAGCTAGAAGAACATTTTGTCAAAGTTTGAACGAGTTTCAAATTAGGATGTGAAGGAGGCGCTCATTTTACGGGAAACAGGCGTTCGAAAAACCATTTAGGAAAAACCTTTATTTTTTTCTCAACAATATCAAGTCGAAATTAAGAATTTTTTTACTAACTGGTAGTAAACGATGTGCAGATTCGGGATCTACACTTTATTTGCTTACCAGTTTGTTCAGTTTTGTAAAAATTTCATTTTCTCACAGATTTTCTCACAGTTAGGAAATGTCACAAGATCTTGGAAAAAACACCAAGAAGTCAAGATCAAAAAAGTGTTTGTAGGCTCAATCTTGGATTCTTGAATCTTACACTCAAGAACTTGAAACATCTTCGCTTACTCCACTCAAGATCTTGGAAACAGAAATTTCGAGATCTTGAGTGAAAAATTTTCTTTACATTTTGTTATTATTTATGACAGTCATAGCCTCATAGCCATCGGATACACGACCATGACCTGAAAAGACTCAAGAAGTCCAGATCTTGGTTACAAGAAGTTCCACTAGGGCGAACTTTTTCATAGAAAAATCGACTCTAGGCCAGAGCTGCCAGGTGGTCCGCAAAATGCGGACCTATTCTCATATTCATTCTTCTGCAAAGCCTATAATGGGTAAATACCTGATTGGCGATACTTCTATTTAAATAAAAATGGTTAAAACAAAATGCGGACCTATTCCGCTTTCTGTAGTTTTTTCGCAAAATGTTCGCTGTCTGCAATTTGTCCGCTTTTTGAGGATTTTTTATTTATCCTTTTCCATGCAATGAAGATTTTTACATTTTCTCATAAAAAAATTTGGCCCCTGAATGATCTGTCAAAACAATGCTTTTGCAACTTTTATAAAACAGATGCGTACTGTTTTGAGAACACTAATAAGAATTTGCCCAGGAAGTAAGCGGTAGCAGAAAAACATTAGCTTGCCTCAAGCGCTGCGGAATCGGAGTGTGAAAAATAGTGAAATACTAAATCTTCAAGGAAGCCACCTCGGTCAGAAAATCTTAACCATTAAGTGCTGTCGTAGGCGGAAAAGTTTCGAATTAAATTTTATCCTGCCATACATAACTCTTGAAATTTATGATAGCTGATCAAAAACGCCCATCCACAAAAACCCAATATCGATTCAAATTAGGAGTTAGATAATGTTTTATACTTCTTTTCTGTTTCTTAAGTGAAGCCACCATAAAAAAAAATTTTTTTGATGCCCTTTGCATTTGGTGAAAACTGCGTTTCTGCTTTTTAACCGTATTTTGGAAAAAATTTCCGCTTTTCTGTCTTAAGTATCTGGCAACTCTGCTCTAGGCTAACTTTTTGTCGTGATTATAAATATCGTATTCAGTTTTGCTGGAATCACGGCGAGTAAGTGGAAAAATTAGTGGTCAATCAAAAATTTCAATAGGAGCCAAATGGACAAACGTCAGCGCGTTCAATATATTTCTGTTATTATTTTTATTTCGAACGTAGAACCTAGATTTGCACTCAAGGAAATAAATGCTTGAACAATGCTGTGTGAATGTTAGTTATATAGGTTTCGATGACTCACGTGGTACTGTATTTAACCCTTTCGGGACCGGTGACGCTCTAAAGCGTCATTGAAATTTCACGTGATCTGGCTTGATGAATCTGGCAAAAATAAATCATTTTAACACTTACTGCTCATGTTAGAGTTCATCGGTTGACTGTATCACAGTCTCATACTGTTCATAAAAATACATGATTTAATTTTCAGGTAAAATCTTTAAAAAATTGTATCACCATTTCTAGTCGAGAATTTTATGGAATTTTCACTCTGCACAAATATTCTTGGACCCATTCAGGAATTGTTCTTTTTCGATACTTCTCCTTATTTCAGTTTGTTTATAACGTACGGTGGCTCGCTCTATCTAATTTAACCTTTAACACTAAACTCTGAAGACTCCATTATTACCAGCTAAGCACAAATATGCATTATATTACCTTGTACGTAACTATATCTGGATTTATTCTAGACTCCGTGCCTCCTTTTCTTTGCTTTGTTTATCCAAAGAATACCTAACGGTCGTCTATGTGTTTGTTTGGATCTGTTTGGAAGTTCAGT